CTTAGAAGGAATTTGCCTTGGTGTTTGGTGCACAACACAACACTTCTATGAGAAGCAAGGAAGGAAATAAAATGTAGAAATAAAAATATAGAACAGAAATTATAAAACTGAAAAATACAATCTTTAAAAATATAGATCTGAATGTGCAAATGAACAATTGAAATGTGCAATGTTGATGTGCAACGACAGACCAGAAAATGCTGAATGTAATAAATTAGTGAGGATGGGGGGGGGGGGGTGGGTGGGGGTCGCTGGCCTTGTTGATGAGGCCAGTTGCTGCTGGATAGAAACTCTTTATGGCGTGAGGTTTTGGTCCTGAAGGTCCTCAGCCTTCTGCCAGAGGGGAGGGTTTCAAAAAGTTTGTGACCAGGGTGAGAAGGATCAATCAATCAATCAATCAAGTTTAATTGTATAGCCCTTTACAATACCCAACAAAGCCATAAACCATACAAGCCATACAACAAAGCCATAAAACAATACAAAAAAACATACAAAACATACAGAAACAACTAAAAATGCTGTAGTGGTGCAGCGCTGCAGGGCATTAAAAGCCTTCCAGAAGTGCGTAGAAAGGAGCAGACAGAAGGGGTTTGTCTATTGTTCTTTTATTTATTTATTTTTGTTGTTTCTTGTGTTTAATGTGTACAATTTACCAAAATAAAGTGATTGATTGAAATGATTGAAAAAGGAGGAGACCTAAGAGACCCTAGTTCGAATTAAATGCTAATTTAAAAAAGTGGGTCTTAAGCTTTTTTTAAAAAAAGGCTGAGGTCAGTAGTGGTGCGGAGGTCAGGGGGTAGTTTGTTACACAGTCTGGGAGCAGACGTGATCAGACGTGATCTTTCCTGATCGTCTTTGCAGACGCCATTTTTGAGAGGAAGAGGGAAATCCCCCGCCGGCGGCCATTTTGATTGATTCCCATCTTGACTCCTGTGTTTGACATCTAAGGAAGCCTCTTTTTTGGGGTGTGGTGAGTCGCTGGGACTCTGGAGAAAGGACTTTAGCGGGGGGTGTTCTGGGTCTCTGGCAGTGATTTCCCAAACAGCCAATGAGACACCGTCCTGCAGAGGAGTCCAGCTCGCCGTTTTGGGCGTTTGCTTAAAGGATGTGAAGGCCCAGGAGGCTTTGGGGCAGAGAGGGTCGGGCCGGTCCGAGGCCTCTGGTTTTCCCTCCGTGGGTCCGTGCGGTTTTCTCCGGTCCGGTTGATCCTCATCACAGTCAGGAGAAACGGATGAGCTTTGGGATGCGAAAAAGGGGATGAAAAGCTTCTGAAAAACAACTTCCACACACTCCACCCCTGGGGGGCCACTGCCCCCCCCCATGCCTGAGGTCTTTCCCTGCTTCAACACAGCTGATTCCCATCAGGACGCTATTATCTGAACTCTCAGAGCTATCCGTCATATAATTATCTCGGACCAAAACGTCTTTGCAGACGCCATTTTTGAGAGGGAGAGGGACATCCCGCGCCGGCGGCCATTTTGATTGATTCCCATCATGACTCCTCTGTTTGGCCTCCTTCATGGAGGTGGGTTCTTGAAGGGAAGACTCAGGTGCGGAGATGACGGAGAACAAGGTTTATTGTAACAAAAAACAGTCATGAGTGAGTGAATGTCCATACAAAGTACAAATCAAGGCTGTGGAAAACTGTGAGCAAAGTATCAAAGCAATAAGTAAACAAGACTGTGGCAAAGTAACAAAATAAAGATTAACGAAACTGTGACAAGGCTGTGGAAAAACTATGGCAATGGCAAAGTAACAAAATAAAGAACAACAAAACTGTGGCAAAACTATGACTATGGAACAAAGTAAAAGACTATGGCAAAAAAGCTAACCTGGCGTGACGTGGGGGTGACGAAAGACAGACGACGAAAGACGAAAGGACGAAAACGCACTCCCACAAGACAAGGGGAAACGAGGACTATTTAAACACATGAGGGAGGGGAACCCCAAGTGAACACAATAGGTAATCAAGACATGACAACACACCAGACATTCCCCCAGACGTGACAACCACCTTTGGGGTGTTCTGAGTCGCTGGGAGTCTGGAGAAAGGTCTCTGGGTGAATTCACAACGATCTGTTTCCTGTTTCCTCTGCAGGGCGTTGGAGGAGAGGCGGCGGCAGTGGGACGCCCGGGAGCAGCTCCTGAGGGAAAAGCTCCTCCAGAAGCGCCGGCAGGAGGTCCAGGAGGCCACCGAACGCTACCAGAGAGCCCACCTCCCCCCCGCCCAGAGACCCAGGCAGGGTGGGTCCCCAACCCCCCACATAATGGTTCAAATCCGGGGCTACAGTGGGGGAAATAAGTATTTGACCCATTGCTGATTTTGCAGGTTTGCCCACTTACAAAGAATGCTTATTTTTCCTCATCAGAGATTTATCAATTTTTATAAATTCATATGACGTGATTTTCTGGAATTTTCTTTGGGATTCTGTCTTTCACTGTTAGAATGTACATATGATTAAAGTTATAGATCGTTGCATTCTTTGTAAGTGGGCAAACCTGCAAAATCAGCAATGGGTCAAATACTTATTTCCCCCACTGTAGCCCCTGATTTGACCCATTATGTGGGGGGTTGGGGACCCACCCTGCCTGGGTCTCTGGGCGGGGGGCAGGTGGGCTCTCTGGTAGCGTTCGGTGGCCTCCTGGACCTCCTGCCGGCGCTTCTGGAGGAGCTTTTCCCTCAGGAGCTGCTCCCGGGCGTCCCACTGCCGCCGCCTCTCCTCCAACGCCCTGCACACAGGAAACAGGAAACAGATCGTTGGGAAATCACTGCCAGAGACCTTTCTCCAGACTCCCAGCTAAAGTCCTTTCTCGAGAGTCCCAGCGAATCACCACACCCCAAAGAAGAGGCTTCCCTGGATGTCAAACACAGGAGTCATGATGGGAGTCAATCAAAATGGCCGCCGGCGCGGGATTTCCCTCTCCCTCTCAAAAATGGCCTCTGCAAAGTAGGGTACTCAAAAGTATCGATACTAGAATGTTGTATCCGGATACGACACTCATTTTCAAAAGTATCGATACCTCCCCCCTTCTGTCAGATTTATTTATGTATTTGTTTACGTTGTTTATGATCATTAACAAGACGTTAGCCTTGCTAGCTACGGCTAATGGCTAATAACAACATGCTACCATTAATCAAGTACATATACAAGTCCGCCCACATCCAAGTCGGCCATTTTTATTAGGTCACCAATAGGAAGATCCCAGGCAATAAAATACTAATTGCTTCATGGCAATATAGACATTAACTTAAAAATAGTTAAATGAATCTTGCAAACACTGAATTAAACTCTATCCATAATATAATGTTAAAATAGTGGATCTTAAATAGGTTTGTACAATAAGTCCAAACAAGTTTAGCCCAAAAATATTTATTTCTCACTATTATGAAGGCTGGAGGGTTAGGGTTAGGGTCATTAATGTGGGCCACCAGTCACGATAACATCAGTAACAGGTCAGTTTGAAATTAAAGACACAATTCAGTTAAATTTTGGGGTCTTTGTTTTTATCCTTGTGGTATCGCAAATGGTATCGAGTATCGAGTATTTTCCTGAGTATCGGTATCCAGTTAAAAATCTTTAGTATCGTGACAACCCTACTGCAAAGACGATCAGGAAAGATCATGTCTGATCCTTATCACCCTGGTCACAAACTTTTTGAAACTCTCCCCTCTGGCAGAAGGTTGAGGACCATCAGGACCAAAAACTCACGCCATAAAGACAGTTTCTATCCAGCAGCAACTGGCCTCATCAACAAGGCCAGCGACCCCAACCTTTTTTTGCTACCACCCCCCCTCTAACTCACTAATTCACCCAATGCTACTGTCAGCATTTTCTGGTCTGTCGTTGCACATCAACATTGCACATTTCAATTGTTCAATTGCACATTCAGATCTATATTTTTAAAGATTGTATTTTTCAATTTTATAATTTCTGTTCTATATTTTTATTTCTACATTTTATTTCCTTCCTTGCTTCTCAGAGAAGTGTTGTGTTGTGCACCAAACACCAAGGCAAATTCCTTCTAAG